TAGCAATAGAATAAGAAATATCAATTACAGAATATACACAATAAAAAATAAGTTAAATAGTGACTTTAATATTTAACTCTTTTTGTTAAATGTCAGTTTTATTGATCAGGGGGGGTAGACGAGCGCTGAGCGCATCTTACAACTCCGAAAACGTCAGATCAAATTTTCAAATAGGCGCTATCTTTATAAACAAACCACATAATTGAGCTTTAAACAACTACATTGTCGACTGAAAAACTATTTAAACTACATTTCGTGACACAATAACAGTAGTATTTTTAAATTTATCCTCTGAACGTTACTATTACTAATTAAATCATGACCAAATACAACCAAAAACAAACGTTCAGTCTTGCTGGTGAAAGGTAATTCCTCGAAAGCTGTTTTCAATTGTGTGGCGATGTGTACAGCCCCAAACAGCGCCCAAAACAGGCATTTTCTCAATTCCCTGTATGAGAGGTATGGGAAAGTTGCCATCCCCAACATGGCGGCGCCGTTGACGTACGCTCCAGCGGCCAATAGGGCGTCTATGTATAGACCAATTTTCAGCCGACGTCACAGTTACGTCACGGCGCTAGCTGGTGGCAGAACAAAGGGAAAACTGGAGGCAGCAAATACAAACCAGCACAGATTCGGCTACAAAATAAGGATCTTAAATTATTCTTATTATTATTAAATGTCATCTTGTTGTGTTGTTGGGTGCAAGAATCAATGAAAAATTAATATGCTTTATCTGCAATTTTTTATTTCTAGAAATATTCACCTCATTAAAATTGCACCGTAATGTCACTCTTTACATTGTCGTCTTCATCGCGCTGGCTCGGCAGAACTGCGGATCGTACCACACAAGTCTTGTACATGACCATTCAGCACATAGTTATAGGCATCTAAAGATTTACATGCCCTCCGTTTCTCTATCAGGTAGGTGTAGAAGTCAGTTCACTCAACCGGAGGTAACGTTAACGTTAATCCTGTCAGATCCTCAATGAGTGTACGGGTCGGCCAATCTGGTTCTGTCCGATTAAAATGAACTTTTGCAAATAACAATCGTGGTCCTGGACAGTGAGCGACCTTGCACATTAAGATAAAATCGGATTTTCTCCAGTCATTGTTAAAAACAAGCTAACAAAACTTGCAGACTTTACGTTAGAGAAGCGGCCAGAGGGATCGTTCTGCCACCACCTAAGCTCCGCCCACATAAAAACGTCACCATGTTTACCAACTGAAAATTGGTCTATATATTATGTCTATGGGCCTACCTGCATGTTACGTCATCAGCTTTCGACCAGTTCATGGCTGAGAGCAGAGGTAAGTGCAGTTAATCGTTCATTTCTGTGTAAACTGAAGTTAGAGATCAATTGAAGCAATAGTTTATGAACTATTAACTGATGTAAGCAAGTGTTGTTGTAATCAGATGTCCCATATCGTGTCAAAAATGAAGAAGGATGATGCTTGTTTTGTTGTATTTTAGACAGCTCTCAGCTACAATCATCACGCTAATGATTGCAAAACAATCATCTGTGGTCAATACCCACCCTAGCTCTCTCAGCACTGGCCTCATCCAGATTGTTCTTTAAATGGTGAATAGACCTATTTAATGAGCACCCAGTGTTTATTTGCTATTTGTGTATGTTGTTAAATTATTATTAACACTTGTTTCCCTGCATTTTTCAGGATTACTCACCTTTGGTGGTCACAAACATCTTAATTCATGTTGTTTCTTTATTCTCTTTTATACTTTTGTTTTTATGTCTTAATTAGTAACACTTTACTATAACGTTTCATTAGTTAACATGAACTAATAATGAACTGCACGTAAACAGCCTTTATTATTTTTTGTTAATGTTAATTTCAGCATTTACTAATACTTAATTAAAATATTGTTAACATTAGTTAATGCACTGTAAAGTAACAATAAACAGCTGTATTTTTAACTAACGTTAACAAAGATTATCAAACACCGCAACAAATGTATTGCTCATGGTTAGTTAATATACATTAAGTAATGTTATTGCACCATATTGTAGTGTTACCAATATTCAACATCCATTTCCTTATGTTTTGTGCTGTATTGTCATCTTAAGGTTTTTAAATAAGGTTTTTTATTGTCATCTTAAGGTCTCACAGGACAATATTGTGAAGCATTAATTTTACTTTGCTTAGTAAAATAGGCAAATCTGATTTTGTGCTGATAAGACAAAGGTACTTATCATAGAGAGGCAATTAAGATTATGCGACTAAGATTACTCAGTAAACTCTATTCAATTACCATCACTTAATTTCCCACGTCCTCTGTCTGCACCTCTCGTACTATAGGTTTTTACTATTTTAAATATCAGGACAAAATCTGATATGTCCTAACAGAGAGGTCTACTGATGACTGGATTGAACACAATTCATTTGTTCACTTTTCACTTGATGTATGGCACTTATATTTATATACTTTAAAAGCAAAGTAGACTCTGACTGGATCTCACAACTCTGGAAGAGACGTATATTTCTCTGCACTGAATGTTCCTGATCTTCATATGTAACAGGGACATTAATCATGATCAAGTCATTTTATATATATTTTATTCCCAAAGGATTTCGGAAACGTTAAAATTAATAAAACGTGTACATCAAATTGAACTATGTCTTTGAATCTTTTCATTCTGACAAGAACATTTAATAATGCATGCATAGCAGGGCTGTATTCCTAGAGCGTGTACATGTAGTCCGCAGGAGACAAATGAATACAGTAACAATGCATCACTTTCAACCTCTTGTTGAAACAACTGTCAAAATGGTTGGCTTGCAACAGGACTGTTTTTAAAGATTTACAGTAGGAATGGTAAGATCACAGTACTGGTTGTCTGCAACTTCATACATCATCTGTCTCGGAAATCTGAAACAATAAAACTACATAATATATGCAGTTTAAAACAAAACATGTCTCCTATATATGCATGTCATTACATACATTATCATCAGTTGAATGTGTGGTGGACAGGACATGAAAATCCATCAATACTAAAAATAAATGTTTATGTTCACATGTGGACTAAACAGCAGTTAATAAACTATTGCATCAACTGATCTCAAGCTTCTTTAACTTCAGTTAACACAGAAATGAACGAGTAACTGCACTTACCTCTGCTCAGCCATGAACTGGTCGAAAGCTGATGACGTAACATGCAGGTAGGCCCGCCCTCACGTGATACTGATTGGTCGATTGATAAGCTTAAATCTGATTGGCTGAAGAGTACGACTGCTCTGTTTTACGAGTAAGCGCTGCCAGGAAAGTCTCAAAAATACAGACACACACATCCAAGGCGATTCTACGTGAATGACGATTTGCACATTCAAATTCAAGGACACACTCGTACATTTTAAAGATTCAAAGGTTTTTGTGCACAGTTGTATATCTACGAATTGTGTTTTGCATTTGTGAAATGTATTTTATGAATATATAATTTTATTTTGCGCATGTGAATTGCTTTTTGTGAATATTTTTTTTTTTCACGCACGTGAATTTTTTTTGTGTGTACGTGAATTAGGTTTCACGCATGTGAAATTGTCTACGCATGTGTGAATCGTATTTTTTGCGTGAATTATTAATCAGTCTGATCTGGCTCCATAGATGGACCCATAGACAGTAAAAGAAATGGACAGAGCCATCTCATTGGAACTCAGTTGAGACAGTTGAAGCCCACTTTTAGCGATTTTTGAGAACTTCCGTTCCTGACGCGCAGACTCAAACCGACTCAAACTAAGCTTGATGACGTGAGCAACCTGTCTGACAGACGTTAATCTTCTAGTAGCTGTGCGTGAAAATTGCCAACGTTAATCTTGCAGAGACGGGGAACTTGAGCAAAGAGTTCTTTGGCGTGAGTGAGCAGGAGTAAGTATTCCGTTGCTTTTATGGACTCATTATCTATGGGCTTCTCCCTTGACGGGACGTGCCCCCGATTGCCTGCGAGCTTCTCCTGCTGTCTGTACGGTAATTTCTGCACAGCGCGACAGAGAGTCGAGTGGTTATGACGCAATCGTTAGCTTATTTTTACTGAATCTGTTTCTACGGGGCCATAATGTAACATAGAAGGTAATGGAGCCCTTTATACATTGTCGTGTTTCTTTAGAAATAAATAATGGACAAATGGAGTCTTTAAACGCCTCAGATGTAAAGTTATTCGCTGTCAAAGTGACGCCAAAATGAATGGGAGTCAATGGGAATGCTAACGCAAGTGAAGTTCTGCTACAACATGGCGGCACCCGGCGGGCTTCAACATCCGGTCGATGGATTACCCCCTTGGATGGACCCCATTGACTTCCATAGTAGGAAAAAAGAAATACTATAGAAGTCAATGGAGTCCATCAACTATCAGCTTGTGAGCGTGAGGCACAAACATGAGCCCAGCACTTCCCATAATGAAATAAAGACTTTTGCATGTTTTGTTCATCAATAACTTCATGCATTCAGTCGCTATGTGATAGCTCAACGTGAAAAACTGTGTTAATGATAAACCGGCTGCTTTTTTGACGCAGAAGTTGAAATGATCTTCCAGTCTTCGATCTGGTCTTTAAAGATGTATATCTGTAATGTTTATGATGAACAACTTTGACTCTTTTATTATACCCTTAAATTATAATTTAGGCCCATGTATGATTCATAGCTGTTTATCAGTTCAATAAGTAATATTCAGTTTTCTGTTCAATTCTACAGGGATTTATTGGTGTGACATAGTTTTACACTGGTAGGGTTGCTGCATACAATTATAGCATAAAACAAAATGAAAACAGCAACATAACAGAAATTAAGAAAAAATGAAAACACTGCAGTTAACAAAGAAATATTAAATGGATGACATAAAGAATAAAATTAAATAAAGTATACTGGCCCAATACACCAGATTCGAGTAATAAACCCTTTACAATCAAGCTCAGAGTAGGATAAACTAAAGCATTTCAATAACTAAACAATTAGACCATGCATAGTTTAAACCGGCAATAGGCCAATATGCCACAATATTTATGACATCTGTTCTGTTCTCCTGTTATCCTCTTGTAGCTCTGACGTCATTGACCAGAAGAACAGCAGCAGCCGCAGAAGCCACGCCCATCAGCGCAGTGACGACCAATCGCAGCACAGCTTCAACAGAATCACAACAGGGGGCGTGGACTTCTAAAAAAAAAAAAAAAAACGAGCAACCATGAATTGAATTGAGATTTTAGTCTTTGTCATGAACTCAAAAAGATCTTATTTTCTGCTCCACACAAGAAAAATAAAGTAAAAACTGTTCAGAAAGACACAAGTACATGATGACATAAGCTCCTTCATTCTTTAAGTCATCCTAAGTTATCAGTCTCGATAAAATCAACAAATGAATTCAGTGAATAAATGCCAGTGAGGAATATCATCAGTGCTGCTGTACCTGCACATGTGTGGCAGAGTGTGTTGATGTCCAGATGTGTGGTCTGGTTGCTGATGGGATTGTTCAGCACACAGCTGTAGGTGTTTTTATCCTGATATTCCACCTCCAGAGGTAGAGAGAGACTGATGCTGAGATCACACACACTGATGCTGGACAATACACTCATTCCTGCGTACCAGGAGAGAGTCACATCACTCACATTACACACTGATGAACACACCAGTGAACATGATGATGATGATGAAGAACAGTGTGAAGAGTTACTGATGATGACAGGAACAGGCAGACGAGCTGAGAAAGATTAGAATAAATCACTATCCCTGTATACAGATGAAACTCGACAAATTTGAATATCGTGCAAAAGTTCGTGTATTTCAGTAATTCAAATTAAAAGCTGAAACTAATATATTTAGTATATATAACTATATACATATGCATGATTATACTTTTCAGAGGGCCGGCATTTCTGTATTTAAAATCCTTTTTTGTTTTATTGATTTCATGTAATATTTGAATTTGGGGTTTTCATAAACTGTAAGCCATAATCATCAAAATTATAACTTTTGGACGATATTAAAATGTTTCGAGTTTCACCTGTACATCTACTTCAGAGCTATACACTGTAAAAAAAAAAAAAAAAAAAAAAAAAAAGGTCAAATGACTGGCACCAGATGGAGCCTTAGGGTGGTGGTGATTTCACGAATTATTATCACGATTATTTTTGTAATTTTACAAAAGAAAAGGAAACAGGAAAAATACTGTAGAAATAATACAGTCGGTAAAAAAAGAGAATTTGTAATTTTACAGAGTTTTAAGTACAATTTAAAATTAAAGAAAAATACTATCAAATGTTTTCTTTTCTGTAAAATTAGATTTATTTTACAATGTAATAAATACAAGAAAATGAATAACTCACAATAGACAGTGAGATTGAAACTCTTGCTCAGATTTATGATCATCTCTAGTTTATAAACTCCAGTGTGTTCAGTTGTGGTGTGTGTGATGGTCAGAGATCCAGTTTGATTGTCCAGCTTCAGTCTGTCTCTGAATCTCCCATCAGGAACATCATCATATACAGTCATGCTGTCGTCCAGTACATTGATTTCAGCTATTACAGTGTTTTCATCTCCAAACCTCCACAGAATCTGATCATCATCCATCATTTCAGTGAGATCAGAGTTTAGAGAGACTGAATCTCCCTCCATCACTGACACTGACTTCACTGCATCTGTGTCAGCAAACACTGAAGAACAGAGTTAGAGTTAGATTAAAGCTTATGTCAGTAGTTTTTGTAACTATTTCAAAGCAAAGTGAACAACAAACAGACGGAGCAGCACAGACAAAAAAACTAAATGAAAAGAAAGATCAACAGACAGAAGAAGAAATGTGAATAACTGGTGAAAACCGTTTAGGAAAACAATATTTATATTCAGTACAAAACTCCTGGCCTTTGTATTTAGAGATTCTGAATCATGTGTTTACCAATGTTGCTGTACAATAATTTTAGAAGAATTTCTGCCTCAACTTTAAAACTAGTTGTATCTTTGCTTCAAATAATTTACGGGGATATTCAGATATGAAGAGTGTTCATTTTCTGATTGAATCTGTTCATAATTTGATGATCTGTGATGAGAGACATGAATCCAAATGAGATCTGACTTATAGTAAGTAATCTGCTCTTTTGCAGGGTATCTTTTATCTGGAAATAACAAATGTGAATCGATCATATTACCCATATGAAAAGTGAAGCATGAACTAAAACAGTAAAACAATAAAAACACTTACCGAACCGTTGCCACAAACACAAGCTGAACAAAACACCAACATGAACCATTTTCATTGAGCACTGTAACATTATAACGTAAATCTCTGAAGTGTGATATTAATATAGTGTGTGTGTGTGTGGATCCTCCCCCATCAGGACCACCTATCAGAGGCCACACACACTAGATATTATATAGCATTTATTAAGACTTGCTAGTGACAGAAAACATTATGTAACAGGCAGTTATTAAAATGATCACAAGTTTGCAGCATCTTTTCTGATTTCTGCAGTCTTTCTTTTTGAAGTGTCTCTGTATGTTAAACACACACCAGAAAAAGAAGTATAAGTGTCATGAATAAATATATATCTTCATTTATAATGCCTGTGTGAAATATGAGTCCATGAGTGATGCGTGATGGTAAGAGTCCTGTATATCTGTGACTATTGGACTGTTTCTGAAACTTCAGTGTTTATAAAGCTGTTTTTGTGAAAAGGAAATCTGATCATGAGGTTCATATGAACAGGAGAGGAAATAAAGACACTCTTTACCCACAGACAACTGACACACACACACATCATGTGCCTAACAATAATACACACAGGTTTTCCACTCTTCAGGTCAGACTACATTTCTCTGTAAATAAACGAGACCGCAGAAATTTCACTTTGACACACACACTGAGCTGCTGCTGTCACATTCACTGAAATATCTGAGCCAGAAAAACACATTCGCTGTGGTTTGTCTGTTTAAATAGAATGTTTTTTTTAAACAAAACGTAAACAACATTGAATATGTTTGGGTGATTTGTTTACCTAATTAGTTAGTCCGACACATTCAAGCCTGTTTGCATTCAGTTGTGAACATGCTTTGTCTTTCTCACTGAAGCTGGATTTACATGCTTTCTATAGCATATAGGGAATGCAAGAACTGAACATGTGCAACTTGAATGCAATTTTTGTTGGGGGGGGGGGGGGGGGGGGGGGGGTGTATGCATGGGTGTAAATTCATCATCACCCACGTTTACAGGCTAAAGATCCTCTATGAATTGCATCCTAATTCACTACAATAGTTTAAGTTTGTGCAGGGCTCATGTTATGCAGTTCTAAATGTAGGTTGGGGGAGGAGCCTAATCATTCAGTCCTGTCAATCATCATATGTTTGGATAACATGTTTTTATTAAGGAAAAGTCATATTCATTTGAATGAAGTAAAACAGATGAAAAATGTAAGACATCTCATAACAAAAGAAAGATGAACAGGGACATTCAAAAAATAAATGCATAATTGACAAGAGCAATTGAAATCGACCCAGATGAAAACTCTGTGTCTTTTCACCGCATTCTTGACAGGAGGAGCTAAAACTAGCGATGGCTGACACGAAACAGTCGTTCCGATCGCTTTGCGAGATCCCGAAGCGCAGATGTTTCGAAACACTGATCCGAAGCGTGATTCAAAACACCCATGTCACGTGACAATGGCCAAACGAAGCCTCGATCCGCCGAATCAGCGTTTGATTGACACGGTCACGAACAGACCACACAATCGCACATCTGTATAAAAGTGAAATCAACGCATATTGGTTTTTGTGAGAGGAGTTTTATTTTGAGATAGCGGATTTTGGTGATATAGTGACATAGTGCGATTTGATTAGTTATAGGCTATTTAGGCTTACATTTAAATTTACACAACACATTGACTGATAGGCTAGAGACAGACAGAGTATAGTGACACATTAATAGATAAATAGATATAAATATATAGACAGCTAGATTAATAGATACATTTGCCCATAACTCATGATCCACTAACTTACTAGAAAGAGAGTGTAGGCTAATCTTTCCTCATTTGTATGTCCTAGCTAAAAATATATATTTGCATGCCAGCAGCAACAAATGTCCCTTGTGAGAGGATTTTTTCAAAGGCTGGAGAAATTACAAGCTTCACATATTAGAAAAATACAATAATAAAAAAATAACACATTTTTTAATGGCTCGTCAAGGTTGTTTCAGATCAACACCTGCAAGTGACCACTAGGTGTCACACTAGAGACGGGTGTCGGATTGATTCGAAGCTTTGAAACAATATGTCCCATTTGGTTCAACTGTTTCATTGCTTCACGAAGCCTCGACCTGCCCATCACTAGCTAAAACAGGAAAGAAAGCAAAGGTGTGTGTGTTGCTAAAAAAAAGAAGACGAAAAATGTGTGTTGCTTTCCTTTTACTACTTTCACTTAGCAAATGATGCTCCATGCGTGACATATGTAATTCTTCTTCTTCTTCTGTTTGTGTGTTCTATGACAGAGAGTTTACCGCCTCCTACAGGACTAGTGCAGTCAGCATGAGGAAGTTCAGTTGTTCTGGAAGGTCTTGTGTTTTTCCAGACATGACAGAATCAAAATGTTACCAATTAAGTAAATAAATAAATAAATAATCACAGAATTAAAAAGTGTTTGTAATATATATATAATCGTTTTAGTTGTATTGATCTGTTCTGCAAAGACTATTACAGTAAGTATTCTGCACTGTGATTTCAGTAAACATGATTTTTTTTTTCAGAAGAAATGTGTGAACAGTGTTTTTTTAGATTAATCTTCCTGTGGATTTAAGTTGTTAATCAATGAATGCAATCTAATGAGCATTTTACTAAATCTAAAAAACAAAAAAACAAAAACAATAAAAAAAACACATTATAACATATAGCCTATTTAAAATTAATTAATTAATTAATTAATTAATTAATTAATTAATTAATTAATTAATTATAACGCAAAAACAAGAAGCACAGGCCGTACATGAGTGTGATTCACTGCTCAGACTCGAGCAGCTCAAAGTAAACCTCTACTGACTTCTGTACAGAGATGCGGTTTGATGAGTTGATGAAAATAAACTGCTTCTGGGTCATCAGTGTGTCTATTCACACATGTGGTTTGTGTGCGTGTGATCCACTGATGGAACCACGAGAAAACAAAGTTAGTGTTAGTTAGTAACCATAAGTGACCATCCTAAGACCATCACATCTTTTTAATATCAAAATATCGATTTGAAATGTATGGCTCCTCTCAAAACAAGCAAACAAAAAACGTAAAAGGTGCATCCGGTCCGCCATCTACAACAGTGTTATACTAATATAGAGGAATATTAATAACCAAGAGTATCAGTAGTGTGCAGTGAGAGGGTGTTGCTGAAATATTATTGGTGGAGGAATCAGACGCAGAAACACTCTCTCACAGTTTCACACTGTCCTGTTAGTTCACTATCTCTCTGTCTCTGTAGTGTTCATATATAGAGCTGTTATCTGAGAATGCTTCACATGTTAGTGTTGTTCTGCGTCTGTCGTCTGGCCGGTGAGTTATAATCATTATTCATTTTAAGACTTTAGCTACATTATATTTAAAGAGATGTAATACAGAGACATAAGTACTTTTAATCAGATTTAAGTTAAAAGATGCTCAAACTGAAACAGATCTAATTTAAACCACAAGAGAAAAATACAGGAACAGCAAATGATTTTTGGTTAATCTCGCTACTCTGAAGTTTATTTTACTGTTTGTTGTATATAGTTTCTGATTTCTTAATAAAAAAAAATTGATAATGAAACATAATACTACATTTTGAAACTAAGATTGAACTATATATTTTCATATGTGCAAGTACAAAGTAAAGTCAAGGGTTTAAGGACTGTTCATTTGGGTCTTTTAGTCGATGTAGTTTCTGTATGAAACATTATTGGAGTGTTTTAACCGCTTTACCTGATTTGCATATTTGGCTTCATAACCCTTCATTCTCCAGAGCAGAGTCACTGAAGGAGCCAATCAGATTTAAGATGAGACACAATCACCCCTGTGGCTCCTCCCACATATCACACGTATTGTGATAACACTGTATTGATAACTAAAAATAACATCACAAAAAATATTAATCACTGGCTACTTCTCTTTGATTTTCTCTGCATTTTGACTGTGCTGCTGTTCTTTATTACATTTACACAATTGGTTGTTTTAAGAAAATCAGCAAAGTTATTAATCTGTTCTCCAGGAGTGTTTGCTGGTTCAGATGCAGTGAAGTCAGTGTCAGTGATGGAGGGAGATTCAGTCTCTCTAAACTCTGATCTCACTGAAATGATGGAGGAAGATCTGATTCTGTGGAGGTTTGGAGATGAAAACACTTTAATAGTTAAAATCAATGTAATGGACAACAGCATGACTGTATATGATGATGTTACTGATGGGAGATTCAGAGACAGACTGAAGCTGGATCATCAAACTGGATCTCTGATCATCACACACACCACAACTGAACATACTGGAGTGGAGTTTATAAACTACAGACCAACAGTGTGAGAAAGAGTTACAGTCTCACTGTCTTTAGTGAGTTAAATATTGTTTTATCTGTTTTTAGCATCAAAGTGGGGGTATTTTAGTTATAAAAATGACAAAATCATTTCAATTAAATAATTTTCCTCTCTGATATTTATCCATATGTGTAAATAATAATCATTTATATGTACAGTATATATGGAGAGGAATGAAGATCACACCGGACACTTACTGACTGACGTCAATAAACACTTTCTAAACTATTCACGTTTCTCTTTCTCAGCTCGTCTGCCTGTTCCTGTCATCATCAGTGACTCTTCACACTGTTCATCATCATCATCATCATCATCATCATCATCATGTTCATTGGTGTGTTCATCAGTGTTGAATGTGAGTGATGTGACTCTCTCCTGGTACGCAGGAATGAGTGTATTGTCCAGCATCAGTGTGTGTGATCTCAGCATCAGTCTCTCTCTACCTCTGGAGGTGGAATATCAGGATAAAAACACCTACAGCTGTGTGCTGAACAATCCCATCAGCAACCAGACCACACATCTGGACATCAACACACTCTGCCACACATGTGCAGGTACAGCAGCACTGATGATATATGTGCTGTTGTCTTTCTTTTTTTTCTTTCATTCAATTAACGTTTTTCAGAGCCCAAAATAAACCCCACATAATTTTCTTCTTTTCTTTCAACATTGCTGTTTTTATCATATTTACAGTACCTGTGATTGTGCAGTTTGGATTTGCTGAAACTGTTGGCTTGTTGAAAATCACTATTTTATCATTGGTTATTTAGAAGTCCACTGCTGTGGATCTACAGAAGCTGTGATCCGATTGGTCGTCTCTGCTGTGGTGGGCGTGGCTACTGTCATTCTTCTGGTTTATGACATCAGATCCACAAGAGGAGGAGACTAATGGAAGATCAGTTGAGGAATCAACAGCAGTGACCCCCGTATAGTTTATTATGAATGAGAACTCAGTGTAAAGATATGTCTTTAAATAACGACATTTGCGTAAAGAACCAAACAACATGTTTACATTGCTAGAATGATCTGTACCGTTGATCTATCAGAACCTGTAGAAATGACGTCAACTGATCATCCATGTTCCTGAAATATTGTATGTTTGTTTTTAGTGTCCTTAGTTACTTCGAGGCTGGCTCCTCTTTTTCTACAGCTGTTGGAAGTATAGAAGATCTCTTCAGTAAACTGTGACTAATTGAACTTCAAAGGACATATTATGCTTTTTTTACATGATCAGCTTTCATTCAGATTATTTTTGGGGGGATTTTACTACTTTAAACTACAATTTTAAAATTAATTGGCCTAAGAATTTCTTTAACAATCCCCTCTTCACAGTATTATCCCTGATTATATATATTTTTTCTACAGTTGGTTACAGTTGAATTTTATCTTTGTAATTACAGTCAGAAAGAAAAAAGCAAACTGAGTAAAAAACAAGTGAAATAGCAATAGTATGTTGTACTGACAAATGCTTATGGAGTTTACTTTCATTAGAGTTAAAGTAATAGCCTACTTGATCATTTATACGTTTTCTAGAGGATTTCTTCATAGGCTATAGCTACTCAGAATGACTATTTTCAACAACTAAATTTAAAGTGAAATGTGTACTACTGTGTATTATGCTGACTCCCAGAGTGCACATCAACATGAATAAATTAAGCAATTGCTTTGTTTTACAAATTTTTTTTTGGCTTTTTTTGACTATTTTATTTGATGTCTTGTGTCAGTAGCCTTGTAGCACAACAAAGACAGCAATTTGTTTTATTGAAATTAATTTAGTCTTATAAAAATCAATTTAATTGTTACCATTTGTTGTGTTTTGCCTACTGAATGCTGATGTCTGTGGCTCAAGCAGAGCCAATTGCAAGATATTGTCGCTACAGGGGATTATATCAATCAAAAATAAATACATTTGAGAGTAGCCTATATGACGTAAGTGTTAATAATAGGATTTGAATCGATCATAATTATACATGAAAAGTAAAGTAATTAATGTTGGTCGTTATGACAGAAACGAAGCTTTTCTTGGTGACCCCTGCTGATCAAAACAGTGTAAATGCAGAGAAATCTCAGATTATAGTGGCGCTGAAATCACGTGACTTTGGCAGTTTGATACACAATCCAAATCTGGTTCGTAACAAATAATTCGCAAAGGTTTCGGAACTTCTGGACTGTCAGTTGTCAGATGCCTTCTATCCAACAATGTCAATAAAGAGTCATTTATGAATAATCAACCTTTGATTTATTATTTAAAGCGAATTATATTTCATTTTTTTTCAGCAAATCTTGGAAAATTTAATTTCCTGGTTAGGACACTGTGTGGCGCTTTAGTAGTAGGCTATACAATTACAATATGCGTACTCATCCCTCTAGTGGTCAAATTCTGATATAGTTTCATTTGTTTATAGTTTCACTCCATCATCTGCAATTGGGTTCCACTTCCAGTACATGAAGCAGAGGAATTTAATGAGGTAGTAGACAAAATATATCGCGTATGAACCTATGTTTAAGATACAGACGCATACGTTGGAAACAAAGTTGTATGTTGAATATTTCCACTTGATAAGACAATCACCCCCTCCCATCCAGATCAAAAAGTTGCTCGATGACGTCTGAGGAAAAAACATTAGGCTATCACTTAATTTACAGTTGTTCATTTGTTCAACGCAAAGTCTCAAAGAAACCGAGTCGCAGGGGATAAACACTGCTCTGGCACTTGTATTGTGCTACTGTAATATAGCCTACAGTTGTGAACAAAGAAGGTCATTTGGCGCGTTTCATACATCTGCTTGTTCATTGTACATCTCCCTGGCAACAGCGCCATGTTCGCGTGGGGTCGTCATGCCCGTATATCCAATTAACGTTGTTAAATCTGACTTCAACTGATAGTAGCCTATAGTAGATGTAGGAAATTACGATACTGAATAGTGTTCTGAGGAACTATAAAGTTGTAAATAGCATTGGCATTGCACAGTCATAGTTGTTATGGAAATTTTAATATTGACTGATTAATAATAGACATAGCACTGAAATATCGTATGGTCTCTTGTTCCTGAGTTACGAGAACAGAGAATCTTGTGTTTTTGGTATCATGTTTACTCAGCGAGAGAATACAGAGCCCACACCTTTCTGGTGATTTAGGTTGCAAATGAAGAGCCTTTTGTTTTCAAGAACAAAGGACAATTTGACCTGTCTGGGAAGGAGGGGTTTTACCATGCCAAAGAACTGTATAAGATGTCATGTTTTGTGAAATCAAACAGGGCTCCTTTTTCACACACTGGGCTGCGGTGTCTGAAGGGGGTCCTCAGAAGAATAAAGCCTTTACTCTTTGAAACAATTTGCCTCTGGAAAGTTTTCTTGACCCTTGATGCTGTTTACTGTTAATATCTGAAAATTGCTATTACATAGTCCTCCTGTGGTTCAGACACGAATGATTGCTGGGCTCATTGTAAGTATAAGGAGAAGTTAGTAGCCTAAACATCCAGCGAGTGTTTACCACCACACTGAACTCCTTAACCGCACTAAAGTCATTAAAACAGCTCAGAATACATTGGCAGGTGAAGATCTACACCAATCTGTCTCTCACAAGTCTGTGGCCAGAGATTGGCGCAACCGAGATCATAAAGGTAAGATTTGTGTTTCCATAGACGTGTTTCCATACATTGTTTATTTAGTGAGCACTTACACATTCATGCGGTTCAGAAATTATGAATCTGTAATATATCTGTCATAAATACTAAATGTAAATAAATACAAATTATAAAGACACAATTTGGTTAAATTGTTTATTTTATTTTACTTTCACTTTCACTATTGTGTTGTTTCCAAGCTGGTAAACTGAAAAAAATTGCTTCATTCGAGATATGTTTTCCACGCAGGTCGTGAGAGCATATGGCAGCTCATAACACAGCATTCACCAATAATTTGTTTGTGGATTATGAGCATTGAAAAAGCAAATGCATAACTTACATTTATATTATTTTTAATAATTACTTATTAAGTAAACCATTAAGTATATCTGTTCTTATAATGCAGAATAGGTCTTAATAAGTATTTATAAATATATTTATAGAATAGTACTTATTTATAAATGGAGCTATAATTCATTATTAGCATGGACTTCATAGAAAGTGTTACCATGCATCCCAATGTGCATGCATGTAACATTAGTATTTTTTAAATACTATTTAGGGCAGATAGGGTGGATAGTATGCACATTGGGACGCAGGGTCAGTCTATAATAGTAGTAGTAGTGTCTGTGTCCTAAAGTCCCAGAATGCATTGCATTGCTGACGTCACACCGAACGCTGTGAGATTGTTTAGAAATTAGGAATGGTGAGAACATTGTGCTTGGTACGGTTTTCATCAATAAACCAAACTTGGGTTTCCAGCCGATGAAGTTTAAATCCAGACTGGCTAGCGCTACCCATAAGGTTTACTCCTTAGGTCACATTCAACTACTTAGTTTACACTACAAAAGCAATCCTGTGCAGATGAAACCATTTTTAGACTATTTGTTCAGATTTTTTCCTTTCGATCAACCCATTTTTTAAAGATTTGATTTTAAGATTGAAGGCCGTTCAAATACAATATTGTTTTTTGGAGGCATAAGTGTATAAGGTCATGTAGAGATGCAAATGCCCTCTAATATCAATCACAAATTATATATTTTTATATTTCTGTCAGATTCAGTATTTCATAGCAGAGTTGTTTTGTGTAGAGCAGAAGTCGGATTGTGAACTTCAACTGAGCAGGAATGGAAAAAACAAACACCTTTCAACCACATACAATTCTCGCAAACTCACAAAAAGACAAAATTCACACCTCACCCACCTACTAGTGCGTCTCTAACATAAACGTCCAGTAACAGACACACACTCTTGCAAAAGCTGTTTGTGACCATCACATCAAACCACATTTCTTTCCGATCTGAAGAAAGAAGACCACCGCAGTTTTCAGTCTGACTCACGCTGAGCTGCTGACTGTTTTAAATGCATGCATTTACTGAGTTGCATTCAAGACAAAAACATTGTATAAGATTTAATCATATTGATTTTATCATACAAGAGCATATTATTCTATTTTGATATTCAGACATGTGAATAATGTTGTGCGTTGAAATTACCATGAATTACAGTAATAAAAATGCATTTAATGCCCCATGATCAGTTGTATGATGATGCTTGCTCTTTTTAATTTTATTAGAATAAACAAATCGCACATTAATAAGATTACAGTAAACTGACTATTACTTACTAAGAAAACAGCTGGTAACACTTTATTTTGATAGTCCACTTTAGACAGTCTAATAACTACAAGTAACTTTACAACTACATGTCAACTAACTATCATTAGAGTGTTAGTAGACTGTCTAATATCTGCTAACACATCTGACTTGTTATCGAGATGATGATGGTCCAACAGACATTTAACTGACTATAAGTAACTACATGTCATCTTATTCTACTAACCCGAGCCTAACAGTCTACTGATACTCTAAGGCGAGTTAGGCCCTGTCCCAAATGGCACCCTAACCACTTCATCGTTCATCATGGGGTGTCTTTACATTGACTTAACGGACACGGGCACACGGCAGCCATTGTAAGTCCACAAGACCGAAAGTGCATATGAAGTGTGCCATTTGGGACAGGGCCTTAGTTGACGTAGTTGCAAAGTTACTTAAAGTTAGTAGAATGTGTAAAGTGGACAATAGAAATAAAGTGTTACCAATCATCTAAATGACATGACCAAGAGATATATTTATAATATCACATAATATTTTTCTCACAGAGAATAAATTAGTAAAAGATGGTCTTTTGCAAAAGGATCATCATACTTTGCGAAAATCTTGCACAAACATTGCAAAACTCATCATTACAAAAAAAAGAAGAGAGCTACATTGAGTTTGATCAACAACTCAT